TGTGGATGTCGTTACTCTCTCACTCTTATCATTCCATCTACTACTTCTTCTTCCCGTCCTTGGGAAAAGTATTATATCATTAGAGTATTATTAGTTAACTGCTCTCTTTTCCAATACCTTGTTTATATATGTTTCATTCCATTATTGACTTCGCCTTCCATTCGACTAGTAGCTAGTTATCCTTGACAACAGTAGTATTTTATGCATGGTGTGTTTATACGGTGAAGATGATGATGAGATTACACTTAAAGAAAGAATGAACGAGGAATGTAGACTTAATCAATCACATAATGAGGTTTATGCATGTAAATCTGAGATGTGGACTTAATTAATCATGTTTTATATTGCCTTGCAATATGATGAATAATAGGAAACAAGCAAGAGAAGAGTCTGTATAGGGTTGTTAATCGGTTCTCGGTTTAACCAATGATCGATTCATAGTTGTTGGTTCTCGGTTCAATCGAGAACTGATTACCCAGTACTACTCGCTTGGTTAACGACGCTTGGAAATGGCATATCGGTTAGGTCACTTATGTCGGTTAATAACTCTTGGGTATACGGGTTAATTGAGAAGAACCAATACTGCTTGAAGATAGCCAACACGAGGCAATCTCCATTGCCCCCTACTCAGAATTCCGCGCATCCAATCAGCAAAAGCTTGGTTTGGAATGCATTAGTGAAAGGGATGGGGCATCATAATAAAATATATGCATGGATACATATCATTGATAAGAATAGTATGCATGATCATCAAGATGAAGCTACCTGAACATAGTTATCCTACTATCTATTATCTATCTATCTATCTAATTATCGTTACTTATTTAGTTATCGTTACTTATTCATCTTATAACTCAAAAACCAACTAAAAGTAGAAAACCAAAACCCACGATTCTATCTTTTTTGTGCCGTGTTTGAGCATAAGTGATTAGTTTGAGAGTAGTTGCTATTAATTAGAAGACTATGTCGAATACGATCCAATACATATCTAGGATTTTTATTACGTGGAAATACTACTACATATTGCACACATCAAGCACAACATCTCTCAACTCAACTTAAACCAAATAAAGTTTTCACTTTCAATATTTAAGGCTTACATAGTCATATTTTACAACTATTACGTAAAATCAGAAGTGTTACGTAAGACTTCTGCAATAACTTCATACTTTACATAATGCAGGGTTAATGTTCATTAATTACCAAAAAGAATGGTCATCATATAAAACTTACATCATACAATTATCTCTTATATAACAGTTTAACATCGAGTTACATGAGATTTTCGTAATGATTTTATACCTTACGTCACTTAATATTTATATCCATTGCATAAAAAGATCATCTATATTACGTAACATTATTTTACAAATATTACTCAAAATAAACATAGCTTACGTAAACATTGTAAAATGACAAGTGTATTTTAGCATGTGAAAATTTTCAAATTAGGAGGCATTGCAGGAAACTCCCTGTATATAATAACATATTTGTTAAAACAACATCGCACGAAACAAAAGTTAGGTTTATTGAGTTCTTTAGTGGTTGACTCTTGGTTGGTTTGGGTAACCGACACTAGTAAACCAGAGCAGGGTGGGTCATGGGAAGTGTTCATTTTCCCCTCCTCTTCTTTGTTCGTACATGATGATTGTTTGGTTGGCCTTAAATTGATCGATTCATTCACCCATCCCATCAACAGAACTGGTTGCATATATAGCAAGAAGACAGGAGTTGTTGTTCAGTGCTAAAAAAACAAGCCAAAAACGAGAACACAAAAAGCCATATACAGAGCGCACTGTTTGAGTAGGGGAAAAATGAGAAAGAACAAGTGTGGAGATCCAAACATGGAAGTTTGAGCATCATTCCATGAAAAATTCAAAAGGCCAGTTTGATGGATCAAATCAAAACCCACCCAAAAACTTCGATCCTTTTTTTTTTTATTTGATTTCCTCAAAAATTGTCAAGACTTTGCCTGTTGACCATTCCATCACTGCAGATGTTGTCTATTACCTCCCCATGCAAACTATCCTTCAATGGTGCTGCTGCTGCCTCTCTTCAATAAATAATGAGGGTGGTGACCCATGTCGACTGTTTTGTACCTTGTATATGTGAACCAAAACCTATGTCTTTCTTTCTTTCTTACCCTAGTTTTTGAATTGTGTGATTGGTATAGTACATATTCCATCTTAACACTGATGAAATATATTGGGAGAAGACAATATCTTGGTGGTACCAAGATATTGGTACAATTCTCAGTCCTTGATGAATCGAGTTAAGGGGCATTTTTCTGGTTATATGTATGTTTGAGTTTAGAGAATGTCACTAATTTGTGAGTAATTCACAATTATGATTACTTTTGATAATTTAACGAGTTAATATTTATATTAATTGTACGAGCGAACTAAACATGTGTTGTACTTGGACATTGGGCCGTGGTGTCCACGGGCTAGTATGCCAAGACACGGTTTGAGTATCACACTAGTATAGGTGTGAAATATATTGGTTGCCTTGACACGACGAGGAATGTTTTATAGGCATGAAAGGCCTGAACTTCATGAACATGGGTTCAAACACAAGCACGAAACGGTCAATAAGTAGGTCATGCCCAATGACGGAGTCAAGGCATTGGTTCGACGAAAAAAGTACATGTAGATACAAAAGTTAGCTATCAGTGAGACTTGAAGCCTATACTTCGTAAATATTAGTCTATATTTTCTACCAACAAACCTCAATAAATCATGAAATTAGTTGTGTTTTTTAAAAACAAACTTAGTTGTTAGTTGTATATAATACATTATAGTTTCACAAAATATAACTTTATCCTTAGGTCTCAAATTCTTAATTTATTCCTCTTCTTCAACCAAATTCTCCTCGTGTTGGAACTCGTTTGGTTTCCTTTATCATTATAATGACTTCTCTTATAATGATATCTTAAATTTTGAACCAACTATATTATTTATATATATATAATGTGAAGATAGACTATAGTTTTTCAAGAACCGGATAGAATATCTGAGCTTTTTAGGATCATTGTCATTGAAATGAGCAACTTAATGCTATTTTACCATAAATCCAAATATACAATTGTAGGTAGAATACGAATAACAACACGCTAAACCATAAATACAAATATAATAGATTACTCTTGATATAATTAGCAAAACTAATCATGCTAATAAAGCTTGAATAGAAAACATGTAACTACTGCTTGCATCAAGTGTCCAAAACATACTCTTACCCCCCTCGATAACTCAGTATATATGAGTCTTAAATTCTACTGCTAGATAGAGATGGTAATGGGGCGAGTTTGCCTAAACCATCCTCATTCCCGCTTTTAAATATCCAAACTCATACCCGCCATATTCATGCGGGGAGAGTTTTCTAAACCTATCCCCATACCCGTAGATTTCGGGTACCCATGGGTAATACCCGCCCCGTACATCCAATATGATAACACCTAAATTTTTATATATAAATTTTCAATTATAACTAGGGCTGGGCATGCGGGCGGATCATCCGCGGGTTTGGGCCGACCCACCCGCATTTTACCCGAATTTCGTTAAGTGGGTGGGTCTATGGGTGGGTGACGGGTTGCGCTAGGAGCCATCCGCCGGGTGGTGGGTGGGTTGTGGGTGGGTGCGCGGGTGACCCGCTCAACCCAACAGCAAAAAGATCAAAGTCGTCGACGCTAGAGAGGGGAGAGTGAAGACGTTAGACATAAACTAGGACTGCTCCTGGAGTTCGAACCTCAAAGTCAACCTTCCAAATAGCGATCCCCTCTTCTTCCCTTTATTTTTTCCTCTAATTCTTTTGCCTAGATCACTACTCTTTCCTTTGTGGAATTATTTTTCTTAGCTCATTGCACCTGGTAATCATCTCAATATGTAGAAAAATATTAAGAACTAATTCGACATTTTTCGCCCTATTTCATCTTCTTGTTTCTCCAGATAACTCTCTTCGCCTGTTATCATGTCAATTTGACTCCTTTATAAGTTTATATTATATACATTGTGATGTGGGTGAACCCACAAACCCACCCAAATCATCCACCATCCGCCCGACCCAACCCGAGACTAAATGTGGGGTGGGTGGTGGGTTAAAAATTATCAATCCGTGTAAGCGCGGGTGGGTGCATTTTATGGTCAAAATCCACCCGACCCACCCAATGCCCACCCCTAATTATAACACTAAACGCACCTACTATATTTTGAAATCGACAAAGAGACAATCATTTTTAACACGGTTCAAAAAGCTTATTATCCTAAAGAATCCGTTAATCCATAAGATAGAATGCAATGTAAACCAAATCATTATTCTCTTACTCTAATACATATACTAAGTAATAACTAACTAACACAATCATGTTAACAATCAGAACAATGAAAGAGTGAAGGGAGGATTGAGGAAAAAGAATTAAGTTTTGATTTGGGTAGCCACCCGATTACATTTATACTAAATATTTTCTGGAGTTAGCCTCACTATTATAGATAGGTTACAATTTAATCAATCACATTTTTCATATGTGAAGAATTTATCCTAATGCGGCGGGTATGGGTATGATATAGGGCGGGGGAGACTAAAATCATACCCATCAAACATTTTACGGGTTTTACCCATACCCGATCAATGCGGGAATTCCCGTCGTTGACTGGATCGAAGACGAACGAGTACCCGCAATCTTGAGTTTGATTGTCATTTCTACTGCTAGATAGTACAAACATCAAATTGCATTAGTTGAGGAAAGTCAAAGGGGGCACGGGGTAAGGACTAAGGAGAATTGGTTTTTTGTGATTTCTCAACGCAAACAAAGACAAAAAACATCTCTCACCCAAAACCTTGTTTTGGTGTTTTTTCATCTTCTCCATCTACTCCACTCCTTTCCTTTCATCATAAAACCATAACTTGTCTCTTCCCTTCTTCGCACTTCCTTCCTTCCTTCCTTCCTTCCCATACTGTCTCTCTCTCTCTCCCTCTTTCTCTCCCTCCCCTCTTATCGATTCATGGAATGCAGAACGGCCGCCCACGAAGCAGGAGCCATCGCCACTTGGTTCGACGATGAGCTCATCGTGAGACAGCTTCTCGACAATGACTTCGCTTTCTATTCGCCACCAGGACCAAACCCAATCCCCGCCGAAGAATTGGCAACTACCCAAATCATGCAGTCTACTCTGCGTTCACCGCCGACGGTTCAGGAAATTCAAGCCCAATGGATGAATCAGCAACCCGAATCAGTGTCTGATTCTGGGTCGGTTTTGGTTTCTCCTTCCAGGTTCGAATCGCCAATTCTGAAGATATCCAATTGCGCTTTCTCTGGGGATGCTCTGTTTCCGTTCTTGAAAAAAACAGAGTTCCTCTGTTTTTTAGCTTTCTTTTGGGTTAATTGCAGAGTTAGCTTGCGTGAGAGGGGAATTAACAGAATCGACAGCAACAAGTACACTGTGAAGCTCAAGTGGTGCGAGAATGGAATGGCGGATGACGGCTATAAATGGAGGAAATACGGACAGAAGTCCATCAAAAACAGCCCCTACCCCAGGTAATACATAAGATTGTCGTTACCATTTTCTTGTTAAATCCAATTAGCAGACTAAACACAAAATGCCGTAAGAGTCAGTAGGGAAAGTTGGTATCTTGAAAATTTCACTCCACTTTTGGATAAAATTTGAGCTAACCTAGCTAGTTATTATAAGCTAGAAAGGAAACCTTTTTTCTCACGAAACAACTCCGTCTGTTTTGTCGATGACCGGACAGGAGCTATTACAAATGCACAAATCCACGGTGCAGCGCCAAGAAGCAAGTGGAGAGGTCGAGGGACGAAGAAGACATAATCATCATCACCTACGAAGGCCTCCATCTACACTTCGCTTACCCCTTTTTCCCGGCCATCCCTGACGGCGGCGGCGATAATCCTCCGACGCCGAAAAGGCCCCGAACAACTTCCCCGGGAACAGAGTCAGGAGAACGATTCCGGGAAGAACCGCGGCCAGGGACAGAGTCGGCAAGTTCAGTTCTGACTTATGGTAATGGCGGAGATTCTGATGGATTGTTTTTTATGAATGCCGCTCCCCAGGGACTGCTCGAAGATTTGGTGCCGTTTGTGGTCAGGAACCCGGCGCCGTTGTTGTCATCCTCTTACGCTGGTGACGGTGTTAGTAATAATAATAGCCTCTGCTCCAACTCTTCTAGCTCTTGTTCGTCTCACCGGTCTTCGTCGGTTACTTCTTCGCCTTCTTGCTTTTCTTGGTCACCGGAATCCCTATCATTCCTGTGACCGATGTTGGACCAACATCAAATTTAGTTGTATATTTAGAATTTAGGTCAATCCATATTTTAATTAGGATTTCTGGATAAAGAGAGAGAAGTTTTTTCCGGTCACTCGTATTATTGAGAAAATCAGTCCTATACAAAGTGGTGCATAGTTGAAAATGATCAAGAAACGAAATTGAACCCTACTAACGAAGGGAACAACGAAAAAAAGATTTTTCTTTCCACCACTTGGACAACCACGTTACAGGTACCGCCAACAAACAGAACATAGCAATGATGAAATGAGGCTATCAATGCTTGAAATACATCGGCTAGTTTTCCCAATCTTGAATTGTCTTTTTGGGGCCAAGCATCCTCGTTGTTTGAAATACATCTCACTCTGCAACCTGCAATCGAAACTGAGATAGCAATACCGTAATGGTATATTACGTAAAATAAAATAAAAACTACTCAATTTCTACCTTGTCATCAGAACAACGCCACAAACAGCATCATGCCACCACGATCAAGCTCCTTCTGATCGACATCCTATGCCAGAAGATTCTCGTATGGCCTAGAGGAAGTGATCCTGAGCCCCACTATTTCAGAACCTTCTGACAGCCCATCCACCACATTATAGCAAAAGAAGAGATGCTAGCTCCAGAGATTCCGCCTCCTCCACGCAAACTAGACATCACTCTAGAGTTCACTGTCGAAAGCTTAATGCCTCACCAATCGGTAAGACACATCGCACAAGTTTCCGTACAAAGTATTGCAACTTAAGGGGTATCAGAGCCCCCAAATCTACATCCTAAGACTCAAGTCCTATGGTAGGGCTGTCACTTTAGCAATAGCTCATTCTGCCTCCTCAATTCCACTACCAAATGATATCCTTATTTTACAGTATAAACACCTGAAACTTTTGACTCCTCAAATCCACTTAACAGAAGAAACTGGTAAAGGAATATCCAAAATTTCATGAACCTTGTCTACCTCAAAGATTTGACGCAAGCAATTCCACCTGCCAAACCCTTTTCTTAGAGTGAATAAATTATGCCATTTGAACCCTAAATATCCTCTAGTGTGGCCGTGGGTGTGTTGGGTGTAAGGCACGCACCTAGTTATCTGTGAGCACCTCCAGCATTGTTCTTGAACCATTTTGCCAGGCGAGGTCCTTCGCTAACAAATCACGCCCACCCAACAACCCTTGCCATCGCTAAGATGGTAACAGATATGTCTTTTCGTTAATATTGAGGAGTTGGGGAAATACCTTCCCTTATACAATCGGGCTAAAAGTAGGGCTGGTAAATGGTTATCCAGTTAACGGTTTAACCGGTAACCGACGGTTACCGGTTAACTGTTAACCGAGCGGTTTCGGTATTTGGTAGGGGAAACAAAGCTTACGGTATACCGATCCAGACCCGGTTAATAACCGGCGGTTAATCGGTATACCGTATATACCGAAATATAATCCAAAACCACTTTTTCCCATCAGATTAATGCCTTCCGTCCTCTCCTCTCGCCATCTCCATCGAGAAAAAAATCCCCTCTAAACCCATGAACACCCTCCTCTGTTCTCTCCCCTCTTCGTCTCCATCGAGAAACAATCTCTTCAAATCCATAAACAGATGAAACCCTCCTCCTCTCTTTCTCGATTCGTTGACCTGGACCACGCCGTTGTCGATTCGTCATCTCGGAGGGTCTCCGATACGTCGCTAGATCTGGAAATAGCTGCTGAAACTGAAATAGCTCTGTTCTTCGTCGGCTCGTCGGTGCTCGCCTAGCCACCCCCTTTCTCCACTCCTCTGCCTCCTTCGCCGCCGTTGCTGTGGAGAACCCAGAACCCAATTCCAGATTTTGTTGGGAAAATACAACGAGTCGCTCTCGGTGCTCGCCTAGCCACCCCCTTTCTCCACTCCTCTGCCGCCTTCGCCGCCGCTGCTGTGGAGAACCCAGAAACCAATTCCATATTTTGTTGGGAAAATACAACGAGTCGCTCTCGATCTGCCTCTCGATTACAAATCAGATGACATGCAAACTCTTCGCGCGACGGCTCTCTCTTCCTCTCGAGGCTAGATCCGGCGACATGCTATCTCCCTCGCGCGGCGGTGCTTAGTCCCTCTCGATTCTAGATCCGGATACACCGCCGGCGACTCGCTCTCCCTCTCGAATCCATATCCGGCGCCATGCAACTCCCTTGCGCGGGGACGTTGTCTTCATCTCGAGGCCAAATCTCTTTTCCCTCTCGATTTCAGTTTCGGAGCCGCGGCCGGGACATGATAATGGTCACTCGCCGCTGGGAAAAATTCATCATTGTCGGGGTTATCGGTTTATCGGGTTTGTAACCGGTAACCGGCTATTCGGTAAACTGTAAACCGACTATTCTTCGGTACCGGTAGTCGACAGTGATTTTCCCTAATCCGGTATACCGTTAACCGGTTAGTCGGTTACCGGTTAACCGGTAACCGGTTAGTCGGTTACCGATTAACCGGTAACCGACCAATTACCAGCCCTAGCTAAAAGTGATTCAGACTCCTTCCAAATATGCCAAGCTATATTTGCAAGTAATGCTTGATTGAACATCTCAAACCTCATGAAAGCCAGTTCTCTCTCATGCTTACTCAAACATAACGACTTCTAGGCCTCTCAGTGAATTCGCCTTTCACCCTGATTCACACCCCACAAAACTTGGCCAAGTGTCTATCCAACGAAAGACACAAAGAAAGGGGAAGAGGGAAGCAAGACATCACATTAATGGGTAAAGCATTAAGAACAACCTTGATTAGGATCTCCTTAGCCGTCCAAGAATTTGTTGTCCCTAAATGCATGAAGCAAACAATGGATTTTGGACAAAGTTCATGATAGATCCAAATCCCTCATCAAATCCATCACCAAATCCATAAAGCAAACAATGGTATACTTGACTTTTTTTTACAACAAATTTCATTCATTTCATTCCAAACCCAAACAAGTGGGAAGAATTACAATTACAATAATGGAGCAACAAGATCAGCAATGACAGTCCATTTCGGAGGAAGTAGATCAAGACGAGAGTTCTTTGCGATCCAATCAGCCAACACATTAAATCGATGAGGAACAAACTCAATCGAGATCCAAGAAGAAACAAAGAATGGAAACCACACGGACAAGGGTCAATGGATCATATGGCCGAAGGAACCATATTAGACATGCACTTTACAATTGGCAATCAAAATATACGTATCTACTTCGATTGAAACTAGTGCTGTGGTAACAAAACAATTAATAAATAACTCTATATGAAAGTAATTATCAACAGTTGGGTCCATAGCTCAGTGGTAGAGCAATTGACTGCAGATCAATAGGTCACCGGTTCGAACCCGGTTGGGCCCTATTTTTTTCAACTTTTTTTTTCTTCCTTTGCTTCGCCAGTGTAATTATCTTGTGCTCTATTTTGCATATGTCTTATTTGAATTATATCTACATCATTTGAAAGCTAAATCTTTGGCTTTTGCCAGTATTGTTATCTTGAGTGGGCACTGATTTACTCAAACTCATTGGATTTTAAAGAGTTAGGTAGTACATATCTTAGTTTGAATTTTAAAGAGTTTCATTCATGTGTTGAAGTTATCTTGTACCATGGTGATATATTTTCTTTCTTTTTTTAGAAAATCCAGTTGAACAAAATGATGGTGGGAAATGTTCTAAGGTTGGATCTTCTTGGTAGAATAACTGCAACTATGGTGAATTGTAGTTTTAAAAGGATGATTCTTCGATGGCCAAGTACTGCATTTTGTAATTTTTATTGCTATAAACATAAGGATGGTGAAAACTGTATTGTGGTTGTACCATGGTGGTAGGATAGTTGTTATTGTGGTAAAAATCCAAACTAATAGGATGATTCTTTAAGTGTTAACAGAGGCCTGTGCACTTAGGTCTTCAAGCTCTTCTAACCAAGTCCATCGCCAAAAGGCTGCATCTCCGAATCACCAAAACCTGCAATGTGAGACAAGGAGGTAGGCTAGGGAGAGAAAAGGATAAAACAAGTCATATCTGGGTCAGATTTGTCCTCCTTCGCAACATATAAGATATAACGGACATCATCTCTAGATCTGCATCAACAGATCAGAGGCCAAAAAGCATCCCACAGAGGGGAGGACAGATCCCAGCAACGGGAAGGAGACGAACACCCTGAAGAAGGTAGAAACCAGAGCCAAACAAGGCAAAGAAGACCGGAAAAAAACGAAAGGAGAAGGAAAATAAAGCACGAAAACATAGGAGAAGGAGGCGAAGGGGCGGCGGACGCCGGCGGGAACCCCCTTGACCGTATATAGGGAGGTTTCTAGAGAGAAGTTAGAGAACAAAAAAGGAGGAGAGAAAGGCGGATGAATGAGTCGAATTTCTTTTCTACTATAAGGTAGTGACCTCTATTAAAGGAGCATTTTGTTTTTTAATTCTTGTTATTATGATGTACTAGTTTTTGTCTGCCCTCCAAATTAATTTGATTACAATAGTGAGATATGAATATGAATGAAACATGACACGTAGAAATAGTTGTTTTAGATCCTCATATAATGATCAGAATTAGTAGTTATAGCTTATAGGCTATCTTTTATCATTTGATGCACTTTAGTAGTGTTTTGTGTGTTTTCGAAGTATAGCATTCTAGTGGGTCACTTTATACGTGTTGGGGGGACATCAAGAGCTTTGGTCGCCGTTTTGGGGCTCGGCCAGAAAACCCTCAGAATTCATTCAAAATATTCCTTTGATAGTGGCCAAGTTGGAGGAGGCATGTAGCCAGTAGGTACTCAATGATGCATTTATGTACCCCAAAAACTGGTTGACATGATCAGCTAGTTCGCTTAGTTGTAGGTTAGCGAACCCCGAACTATCAAAGATTAGGGCTGTTAATGAGCCGAGTCGAGCCGAGCTTTGCCATAGTTCGGGCTCGACTCGTTAATATATTTCCAGGCTCGAGCTCGACTCGTGTTCGTCACGAGCTTTAGTATGCAAGCTCGAGCTCGGCTCGTTTATGAAAATGAAAGCTCGAGCTCGAATCGAGCTTGGCTCGTCAAATAAGCTTAACGAGTCCAAATTCGAGTTCAGCTCATAAAATGTTCATGATAGCTCAAGATTGACATAGAACTGCGCACAAAATTACATTCTAACATGTAGCAAAGTCTAGCAAAGTAAAACACAATATTTATCCCAATTTCAATATATAAAATCCATGAATTATAATCCTTTTTTTTATGTCAGACCATTAAATGAGCTTGTTCGCGAGCTTTCGAGCTGAACATGATATGACTCGAGTTCGGCTCGTTTAGTTAACGAGCTTGTTTGCGAGCCGACTCGATTAAAACGAATCGAGTATCGGACGAGTTTTTCTCGAGTCGCACACCGAGCCGTTCATGAGCGGCTTGGTTCATTAATAGCCCTATCAAAGATATGTGTATTTTCCCTTCTCTTACTTGATAGAGCCCCGGACTATCAATGTACATGGGAAGGCAAGAGTTCTTAAATTGTTTTCCGGATTTTGACCACTGGACCAAAACCTTCTCACTCAAACAAGGTATAAAAATTGTTTACTCACTAAAACACAAACATATATATCCAACCAAAAAGCGTCTCTGGGTTCGAATTTTGGGTCAATACCATGAATTTTAAGAACCCAAGACCCTGTACAAAAAAGCCATTGCTGCTTGCATTTTGTCCCACGCAAACATGGTTCATAAGACTCATAAATGCAGATTACATATACAGAGAATCAGTTCTGCTTTAAAATGGCTTCACCGTTCTCGAAACACCAGTTCCCGGGCCAGTGGAAGTCATCAGCGTACCGTTATCAGACACGTAGAAGTAGTTGTAGTTAATTCTGGTAACCAGATCAGCCAGATGAGGAAAGTGTTTCACGTTCACCTTCACTGACAACACCTGAAATAGAAGACAATGAGATTCAACTTCATTTTGCATAATGCCAGGATTGTTCTGGGTTTTCCTTTGATGGTGAAATCAATGCACATAGGGTCAAAAAAATTGGGGAATTACTCTTAGGAGAACAGCTATGCAGTCATCGAAGCTTTTCTCGATCTGTTCAATTGTCATTTCACATTTGGCCTTCATTGCAGAAGCTGTGCCCCCACTACCTAAAGTCTGCTGAATGGAATAGAAGTTCAGAGCTAAACTGAGGATGCGGTTGATCCGGCTCGCAATTACGGACCACTGGAGAAACAAAGAAAGAAAAGAGTACTAAGTAGAGGAGAAACTGGCTAACAAAAGTATGTAACGAATTCCAGCAGACACAAAAAACGAAAGATGGGGAAAAGTTTAATCACCAGCTTCCCTGGTACGACAAAGCATTGCCGCTGAATTGATAGTAGGTAGGCTTCATGTACTTCCATGACTTCATCGAGAGAGCCAGCTGCGGTCATACCTTCACAAAGCTCACGCCATGCACTATGATATACCTGTAAGCACAAGATCCTTATCAGGCCAGAAGAAAGGAATGCCTCTCATTTTAGTAATTCTTTGACCTCAACAGAAAGCACTCCATTTTATTTTTTTCACTTAGTCCCCATAACGGGATGTATAACTAGCTCAGAGTTGTATTTTAACTGTCAAAGGCGTCAATAAAAGAGAGAATGGGATGTACGTATTGCTCCTGGTACTCGGTTAATAAATGTGATACAAATATCCTGATCTTAGCATTCTTCTTGTTCTTGCAACGGCATGCAAGTTGATTACAAAGAAGAGGTAAACAAATCATGGTAATGGGCCTTACTCCATCCATAACATGTTGGTGAAAGGCATCGACAAAATGAAGGAGCTTTTGTTCCACCAACCAGTGACGTTTGGAGCTGTTTCTCGTGTTGCCTTTACCCTGATAATGGAGCTTGTAAGTAAGGAAGAGAGAGATAATAGCTTAAAAATTCAAAACATAACAACGGAACTCAATCTGTTTTATTAGTTTAACTTTGAACGCGAAGGAAATGGAAAGAGAACCTTCCACATCCACATTCGGACTTTATCAAGTACGAACTTAACTCGCTTGACCTTCAACAAGAATACCATCACCTGATAAAAAGACAATCAACATCACAGAATAAAAAATAATATAGTTCCTTCAGTGCAAGAAGATGAAAGAAGTTACCTGGTTGTACTTCTTAATGGCCTCTGTATTAGCAATAAGTTCCAGTGGCCAAGATACCTGCCAGAAAATCCAGTTATTTGGTCAGGAGACACATTCTAAAACATTCATAGTGGCAGGAGATACTTAACAAACCTTGTATGAGAAGTTCAATGAGGCAAGGCCATCGATTCCAAAGTTGTTTGGGTGACTTCTCTGAGTTGAGATACCTCGAGGTGTATTAGGAAGTTCATCACTATCAAATCCTTGATTTCTGGTGATGGTGACAACTAAGGAGTCTGGAGAATTGAGTAGATTACCATCTGCAGAATTCCTAATTGATTCCTGCATCAACATAAGAAGGCATAAGCCAAGGTACAATGCGCATAGAGCTTTTTTATGAGTGCAAATGTCAAGAAAATACTAGTGAAGAACATAAATAAACTGAAATCTCTGAGGGAGCCAAAACAAGCAGTGAATTCAGATTCTTGATAATGGACATATTGGAGTTTAGCTGAAGACAATGGAGTAGAGAAGGTTAGAAGAACAAGTAATGCGGAAAATCATTAACTCAAAGACTCATCAATCCGGTAAGTATACCTGTAATATAGTGTTTAGCTCAAAATCATCATCCCAGGTTTCTCCCTTGTCCAGCTTACTGAAAAGTATGGTTGAAAAGTGCTGCAGCAAATCACCTGAAGATGCCAACGCATGAAAAGCAATGTAAAAGAAACCCAAGATCACTGCCTCACAAGGTAGGAATAGAAGAGGGTACAATAATAATATAGTACCTGAACCTAACAAGTATATGGCCCGGAGTACTGCAAGCTCATCCATCAATTTCCACTCATTCATCAACTTTGACAATACCATCCTGCCAACATAATCCACCTATGACGAATAGGGAAGAAAAATAAGTAAGTGTATGGGCACTCTATCATTTGAAGTTTCTTCAAACAAGCTTTAAATAATGAAAGCAGAACAAAATGTAGTGAGCAAGATACCTGCTTCTTGATGTAAACATATAGGCATTCCTGCACAATAACTACAGGATGTGGATTGCTTCTTGGTTCAACATTTAGAATCCAGCAGAGAGCCCTCGATGGAAGTGTGCTATTCTTCTGGAAAGGAAAGTGCTCTGAAATTGGGTCATCATCCTGTTTGATAGTAGACAGTTAGAAATTTTTGACACATGAATTGATTAGAAAGGAAATACTAGCACCAGAATGTCACCTGTATGGAAGGGAGAACTGTGGGAAAAGGAAATAATTGTTCTAAGAGCTTTCTCTCATTGACAGAACGAGCATACTCGGATTCACTGTATTGAAACCCCAGAGCATAGTTTGTTCTTCTGACACTGTCATTGTTTCCACCAAATACAGCTTCATGCAAGGTATCATCATTCAAAGGAGGCAGAGAAAAATTTCTTGACAAGTTCAATGCGCTCCAGGTCTCTTTGTGATTCTTGAGTGGAGCTTGACAGACAGTTATAACTGGATTCTCAGGAAAGAATGACCTATGGAGTTGTGATCCAACTACAAATCCTGGGATCGTATGTTCCTCAATCTCAGCTGGACCAGAAAATCCTAAATGAGTGGTTTTTTTCTGATAAAATGCATCCAACATGAATTTATACCATATCTTCTCCGAGCAAAATGAAACGGCTGAGTTCTCACAGTTACTACTACGCATCTCTTTGCTAATTGCATCGGCCGCAGAAGTGGAGGCAATGCTGGATTGGCTTATGTCATCTAACAAGTACTTATGGACATGATCACCATGGCCAACAAGCCCTACTATTGAAACACAGAATACCTCTGACAAAGTTAACCCAGCTAAACTCTGCTGTTGGCTGGTTACTTTATGGTCACAATTATTGCTTCCAAAACCATCAGTCCCGCTCATGTAACTTTTAGCAAAGCTTGATGGACATGACAATGATGTAGGCGCATGATGAATCAGTTGCAAAGATTTTCCAGCAGAGACAATTGACTTTGCCAGGTTACTTATAAACAAAGGACAAACATGAAGTTCCTTTCTGTGCCCCTCTCTTTTGGTAGCAGCAGGCAAAGAAATGGAATCTCTATTACTTATCTCTTTCATGCCCTTCATTGGAGGTACAGCAGAAGTGTGGCCAGAGTTCTGAACATCTAGCTTATGATCTTGTCTAAACTGATAACTCTTCTCCCAGAACCCAGAATCCTCGATTGAGATTACTCCATCAGCACAAAAGAACATCTACAGGCAAAGCGAGAGGCAGTACTCTTCAGATTATAGCAACAGGTAAGCAAAATAACATTAAGGTAATAAACATGATCCAGAATGCAACAAAAAAAAAAGTAAATTACCTCCTCATAAGGATCATCAAGTATCCCTTCAAAAAGCCAGGAATCAAGGGCTTCAATATACGGCAATAGACTTGCCACAAACATATGAAGCACTAATCTATATCCTTCCTCCTGCAATCAAACAGGCATCCTGAATTAATTTCGTTTAAAAATGAGCGACATTATATGACACATGCAGAGGAGAAGTTCCACTTACCTCACCACCTTCCACGAGACAAACTTTATCCAACTTCTTGTAAAGATAATCAAGAATGTGGACGGCCACTTCAGCAGCTGAAATAGACGAATTTGGCTCACAAGTTTCTTGGGGAATAGCTCCATGAACGATTTGCAGTAGATACTCAGCACCTGAGCATAGACTAATCATCAATAAAATTCATCAGCAGTTACCATAAGGGTTAAAAGACAGCAGTCCTGCGAGCACTCAACACTGCATTGCCTTTCATTATTCAGCAAGAGATAAAAAGTTCCTACCACTAATCCCCTATTCGTCCAAACTAAGCTCCATTTGCGCCAAGCTAAAACATACAAACGAAATGACTCACCTAGATAAGGAATTCGACAGTCCCAACATAGTGGGAGTGGTTTCAACACTGGAATTGCATACCTTCACTTCCTCCTTCAAAGCAATATCCCTCAACCTCTATGGAAAAAAACCCCTCATTGAACATTAGGATGCCAGAAAACAAACCCATCAATGTCAAATCAGATGCAATCAACAACGAAAGCCAGCAACAAACCTTGAGCCAACAGGAGGCAGAAGACACAAAAGCGCTCAGAGTAGGCATGGAAGTAGAAGCCACCGATCTCAGCTTATCGAGCAAAAGTTCCACAAGTCGCAAGCAAGTGGCTGCGTAGATGAACTGATGGAGAAGGTTGTGTAGGCTGGAGCGGGAGAGGTGAGTGAGGTAAACTCCCGGCTGGGAAACACGATAGGAGCGCGAATTCGAGTCCCAACGGAAGAGGGACCCGGAGAGCGAGAGACCTTGTAGCATTTGGAGAACGCCTCGTACCACTTCAGCTTCAGTTATCGCGGTACTGGGTATCACCGGAGTCGCGTAATGTATGCCTTCTCCGAGCATTAACAGCGTCTCCGTTCGAGGAGACATTGTTGGTGTACGGAAAGGAGGATGAAGATAACCCAAGCGTCAGGGATCCAAGCAAGCTAGATTCTTTCGACTTGAATCCGAACTACTGAAGCATCGAGTAGGAGTTTCCTAACAATGGCAGCAAGAAAACCTACCGAGTTCGGAGCAATTTTGAATCGAGAGCATTTGCGGCGTTGCGAGCCAGGCGCTAATTATCTCAAACTCGACCGGTTGCGTCGATCCCTTCGTCCTTAGATTAGAAGGGCGTCTTACTTGTTTACTTTGTGCATTGAGAGACTTACTTCTAGAGGCCTTCGTCAGGGATGTCCTTTGTCGCCCTACTTGTTTACTTTGTGCATTGAGAGACTTAGTCATGTCATCCATAGGAAAGTGAATGCTAAAGAATGGAAGCCGATTTACCTGTCTTGTGGTGGTCCTCCCCTTTCCCATCTTTTTTTCGCCGACGACCTTGTTCTTTTTTCGGAGGCCTCTGTTGAGCAAGCTGATTGTATTTTGTAGTGCCTGAATGCTTTCTGTGATGCTTCTGGTGAGCTTGTGAGTAAGGAGAAGTCTAGGATTTTTTTCTCTAAGAATACTAGTCTGATTGCTAGGAAGAACATCTGCTCTAGGTTAGATATTCAGGCTACTGAGGATCTTGGTAAGTACTTAGGTGTGCCAGTTATCCATGGTAGGTTGACTAAGAATACGTACAGGTATATTATTGAAAAAATTGATAGGAAACTGACAGCATGGAAAGCTAGAACACTTTCTCTTGCTGGTAGAGTTACTCTTGCCACAGCTGTCTTAGAAGCTATCCCACTGTATGCTATGCAAACTACTTTGCTACCTGCCTCTGTTTGTGACACAATTGATAGGAAAATAAGATGGTTTGTGTGGGGTTCTCAAGAGGGTAAAAGGAAGGTTCATTTGGTATCTTGGGATAAAATTTGCAAAGCTAAAGATCAGGGAGGTCTGGGTCTCAAAACAGCTCGAGGCATGAACTTGGCTTTCATGGTTAAACTGGCTTGGCAGATCTTCAATAATGATTCGGATTTGTGGGTGCAGGTTATTCAAGGGAAATATTTTCACTACAAGGATGGACGAATTGATGCCATGAAGACCAGCAATCATTCTAGTCTGTGGAAGGCTATTTTGAAAGCAATGCCCTATATGAGGAAGGGACTTGTCTGGAGTGTTCGTGATGGAGAGACAACGGGTTTTTGGACCCATCCTTGGCTCGATAAGGACACTGTGTTGGAGGATTTTTGCTACTGTTGATCTGTCCATGGAGGAGAAACATTCCAGCATTGCAGAATGGACCAATGGGGATGGTGAGTGGAATTGGGAGAAACTTAATGCTTTCCTTCCTAATGAGATTCTTGTGCGGATTGCAGGGATGGAAGCACCAAGTCCAGGGCTTGGTGAGGACAAGACTTTGTGGGGAATGGAGAAAGATGGGAGATTCAAAATCAACTCTGCCTACCGTCTTGTGGAGGGAGAGCTGGAGCAGGAACCAATTCAAATCTGGGATGACTTGTGGAAATGGAGTGGTCCAAGCAGAGTTAAACTTTTCCTTTGGCTTGTCACACACAATAAGCTCCTCACTAATGCGGAAAGGAAAAAGCGCCAACTTACTGCTAATGACTCGTGCAACAATTGTAAAGATGAAGAAGAAACTCTCGAGCATATCCTTAGAAGATGCAAGAAGACTGCAGGAATCTGGAAAGTGTTCAGTGGAAAGGTGAAAGAGAAAAGAAACAACATCAATTTTGTGACATGGATCAACAGTAACATTAAAGCTGAAAACACAGGAGTTGACTTCGGCCTTATTTGCTGGCTGATTTGGAAACAAAGAAATGAGGAGGTTATGGATGGTAAGAGCTACTCGGAGGACGGTTTGATTTGCAGGATCAAGGCGTGGTTCAAAATTGCTGAACAAGCTAAGCAGAATTCTGATTTGTGCTCTTCCCCATCGAACACTCATCGGATGGATCTTCAAGTCGGCTGGAAACCACCAAGAGAAGGTTGGGTTCAAGTTCAGACTGATGGCTCGGTTTTGGGGGATTCTCTTGCTGCTGCAGCAGGTGGTCTTATAAGAGACAGATTTGGTAAATGCTTAGATGCCTTCTCTTGCAACCTTGGTGTCTGCTCTATCACAAGTGCAGAGCTCAAGGGCGCGACTGTTGGGCTCGAAAGAGCTTGGCAGCTCGGATTCAGAGCTGTAGAGTTAAATCTTGACTCTCAAACAGCCATTAATATCATCAAGAATTGGCAGGATGATGATCACCAGCACGGTTTGTTTGCCAGCAAGATTGGGCAGCTACTCACTCGTGACTGGCAGGTGGAAGTGAAGCATGTCTTTAGAGAGTGTAACTACTCTGCTGATTTTTTGGCTTCTAAGGGTCACTGTCTTCCTTTTGGCACCCATTATTTCGATGTGTGCGACCCTCACCTGTACCACTGGTTATTGTATGACGTTATGGGTAATACCATGACCCGTTCTATTAATATGATGATCTAGGACGCTTTCGTCCTGCTTTTTACCAAAAAAAGAAGGGCGTCTTTCGTGTTCCTCCCCAAACGACGACGATTGCGTTAACCTCTCGCTCAAAGATGAAGAGTGACCGCATGGTAAAAAAAAATGAAGAAGAAGAGGAGTGACAACTAGGGCTGCAAATGAGCCGAGCAACTCGAGGCTCGAATCGGGAAAAACTCGTTCGAATCTCGATTCGTTTATTGACGCTCGCGAGCTAGCTCGACTTGGTGGCTTGTTGAGCTCGACTCGTGAGTTGGCTCATTTAAAGCTCATGAGATGTCTCAACATTGTGGTTTGAGGGCCAACTTGATCACCGACTTATGGACTAATCGATCTAATTTGGACTTTCATAATTCATAGGATTGTTAAATTATATATCTCACATCATGTGAAGTTTAACATGTTGAACATGTAAGAAAATATGCCTTATTTTTAATTCTATAAAGAAATTATGTACAAAATTGTTTAGATACTATAAAATAACATGATTTGAACTAGTTAAAATTTATTAACTAAACAATATGACACCTAAAAATTATAAAATAAGATTAATTAATGTTGAACATTTGATTATTTATTTATCGCTACATCTATCACATGTACCATGCACGACATACAAAATGAATGTATCAAATACGATCTAAGAACTTAGTAAACAAGCCTAGCTCGAACTCGACTCGGCTCTTTAATAAATGGCTCGGGCTCGAGCTCAGCCCATTTGTTAACGAGTCAAGCTCAAACTGGGGTAAAACTCGGCTCAGCTCGGCTCATTTGCAGCCTTAGTGACAACAGCCCCATTAAATCCCACCCGCCCCCAAAAGAATCCTGGCAATGGGTCGAGCTGATTCGGGTTTTGCCAAATTTATGGGTTTATCCGTAAAAAAATCACGGTAACGCTCATTGGGTTTGGAAAATTCAAATTCAAACCTAATCCGTTAGGTACTCGTGGGTTTTTGTGATAAAAAATTTATAATAACAAGTTCTTATCAAAATAAAAATCAAACATCAATCTCTCCATACAAATTATCCATAAACAAAACATCATTTTAAAAAATTCAAGCAAATCATAAATTATTCTTACAAATTGTTCAACATCAATCTAGAAAACTCAAAACAATTGAAGCAAATAAAAAATTATCCATAAACAACATTTTTTTGCTAATGTTGATATAGTATTAATATTAATAAAATTACAAGGAAAAAGGAAACCAAGAAAGAACACAAATATTTAATCCACCGCAAGCAAACAAAATCCGCCACAAGTTCAGCATTCTCTTTATAATTAGTTGATCTAGCGTGACTAGTCTAATTAATAAAAACACATATATACATTCATTTTCACAGTCAAGCGGCTGTAAAAATGAGAACGATGGTGAAGGCTTAAGCAATGGATTGACATTAATTAATTCTAAAATTAATAAAGATGGTAAAGGCTTACGGGAAATTTTGGAGGGAAATGGGAATAGGATGGTGTGATCGGGTATCCACAGGACGGGTACCCTCAAACCCACCCCAACCCGTTAGCAATATATCGTGTTGGGTCGAGTCGGGCCGGATATCCATGAATTCGGGTTTGACTGCTATCCCTAATCCTACCCATCCCTGCCTTTCTTTCTCCTCCCTTCCAGTAAACAACCTGAATCCATTGAAGGCATTTCTCCCCACCACTTTAACCCTCAAGGCTTCTCCTATATTATTTAATTTAGAAATATATATATTATAAAATAATTTTTATTATATTATTTAATTATCCATTATAATCTTATTTTTTTAACACTATTGAAAAAATTGGTTCAAAATTGGTTCATTTAGAAAAAATATATATGGTAATATAATTTTTATTATATTATTTAATTATCCATTATAATCTTATTTTTTTAACACTATTGAAAAAATAAAATAAATTAGTAGTCGAAACTATAAAAATACCACTCTCCATGTGCCAAACGATTATTCATGATTTAGTTATTCCTTCGCTTTCGGATGACGTGCTTTGTCAAAAAATCATTTAGTATTATTGACTCGAACTGTTGCAAGACATTTTATAATAAATCTTATATATACCATTTACTAACATACTCCCTCAAAAGAAAGTAAACTTATATAGACTTGAACTTGGCACGAATTGAATACAAATGCTTAACAAACAGGTTCGCCAAGATTCAAACACAAGACCTCTCAATCAACCATTCTCAATTAAATAAGCCTAATTTTCATTCACAGTTAACTATTATACCTGATTTACTTATTTTCCTCTCGAAACGGGGTGGGACATGGAAGCCAACTTGTTGTACTCACTGATCGTCTTCAGTCATAAGCTGTTGTTCCATATCTTCCCAACACACAGAACTTATAGTTGTTGATAGGGTTAATACCCTAGTTTGGTCCGAAGTTTAGCGTAAGTGACAGTTTTAGCCCCATTTTTTAAATAAGACATTTATGGCTTACTTTTGAAATTATTGGACAAATTTGGCCTATGATTTAAATTGACCGTCAAAATTGACGGTGGACTATTATTTTCGTCATTGACTCAACATACTGTGCTGACTGGACCTTTACACGTGATTAATTTATTTTTTACCAAAACAAGTCATTATTATTTAAAATAAAAAAATGCAAATAAAAAAAATTAAGGGAGAAGGGGCACGAGGAGGACCACTCTTCCCCTTACCTTCTTCCTCCATCATCCTCCCCAAACATACATCCGACCAGAACTCTAAATAATCAGAGACCCGCCACCGCCACAGCCACCAGCCCATCCCCTGGCCAAATCACCTCCCTATACAAAACCCAGTGTCGCCGTCTTCTTCTCCTTTGACCAAATCGACGCCCTAAACAAATAAACCCAGCGCCGCCGTGCCCTTGCCAAACTCGCCGTCGCCGATTCGAGGCAATCCTCGACGTCGATGCCACCTAGGATGTGCCGACGCTGTCTAAGCTAGCTTGCCACTGTCGCCATCATCTCCGGTTGTTTCTTCTTCCCTGGGATCACCCTGCCGCCTACTGGTTCGACAACGAGATAGCCAGATCTGGGACATGAAGATTGACAATCCGTCCCATTCTCTCTCTTCTTTCTATCCATCGTCGGACTGGACACGCGCGTCGCACCACTGCTGCCGCCACCGGCACTAGCGCTCCCCGTCGCTTTCGCCTCCACGGAAGAGGCACCGTCACGAGCCCGACGAGGAGAGGAATAGGGACAGGCAGAGAGCACCAGCTTCTGATCTTGTGAACGGGATCTCGAGGGAGTAGCAGCAGAAGCGGACGGACAAAAAGAACGGTGGGGGAGATGAACCGGAGGTGACTGAAGATGGGAATGGTGGCGAGATGGGTAGGGAGGATGGGTGAAGATGTTAGGGATTAAGATTGGGTGAGGAGGGTAGTGAATTGGATCTTGAGGGGAGGGAGTTAGGGTGGAGATTGGATTTTAGTTTTGTTGTTTTGTTTTAAGTTTTTGTTTTTGAATTTTTTAACCTAAATAAATGATGTGGCAGCCACCTCAGATCCACCTAAACATTTTGATGTTGAGTCACTGACGGAAAAGCAGTTCACCGTCAAAATTGACGGTCAATTCAAATCATAGGCCAAATTTGTCCAATAATTTCAAAAGTAGGCTATAAATGTCTTATTTGAAAAATGAAGCCAGAATCGACACTTACGCTAAACTTCGGGCCAAACTATGGTATTAACCCTTGTTGATAAGCTCCCAGCTAAGCTGATCTTGGTTTAGTGGACGGCGGTGCTTTGTTCCGATCTCTGTGGGAAAGTTTGGAGGAGATGAAAGGCCTGAAATCCATACATACTCCTTGGAGGACATAATTATGAGGGCGGAAAAGATGCGGGTATGATGATGAGGCGAAAGCTCCAAAACTATGTCGTTTTCCGGACTGGACAGAAAGTTTGTGGCCACCAAAAAGCACATACAGCCACGACTTGATGGTTTTTGAGATGTGTCTTTCTTTTTTTGACAAATATTTTTTTAGATCTTGATATTCCGTGTGGATTTCTTATTTAATTTCTATGATGAATGAGACATTTCTATTATTTAATTTTTTATTGTGCTTTTTTCCAACATATATGTGAAGAGCTGGTGATAGTTTACTGATTATTTATAACGTTTTCATTAATAAAATTTATGGGTTATATCTCTTTTGTTAGGTTGGAATTTATTTTTTCTCCATAAAAGTGGATAAATGGTGTTATTTAAAAATAGCATCCACTATGTTCGAAAAAGAAATTAAAACATATATTATTAGTCTATAACAATATAACATGATGAAATACTTGATAGTACATAAGAGTATACCATAGTGGTATGAAAGTGTATCGTGGTAGTATGCATATATGATAGGAAAGAATAATTTTATACTTGATAGTAGGAATATATTAATCACTTTATTACACATTAGACCACCGTCTGGGTCTGGCTACCACGGTTTACTACCCAATACCAAGGTGGTATAGAACTGTATATTTGGTCATGAATTTGTTTTCCTAAAATTTGTACATTACAAACAGAAGATGATGAACTCGTTCATTTTGTGCAAAAAATTCAAAGTTTGAGTTAAAATGAAGGAAAGACAAAATTTGTTTACTCATAAAAAATTTAACTTGTATCACATCGATTAATTACAAGGGATCTAATCGATTTATAAGGTTAGCTCAACATTAATTATTAAATGAGCTAGTTTGACCTTGTTGGGTTGGGTTTTTTAGTCTAAGTGGTTGCCCTCTCCCTAGCCTTGGCAACCGTCCACCTCCATAGCCTCAATAACAATGCCATCTCTCCCTTAACAAGCCATTCGATATGAAATATTGCTCTAAAAAATTAAGCCTGGAAACAAGGTAGACTTGGTAGCTAGTCAAAAGGGTACCAAATCGGCAAGGCGGGCTTGATGGCAAGATATGAAATTTGATCAAGTCTGGATACCAAGCCGGCAAGACAAGCTTAGTAACCAGGCAACAAGGTACCAAGCCGACAAGACAGGCTTGGTACCAAGACATGAAATTTTACCAAGTCTGAAATCAAAATAGGCTTGGTAGCCAGGCAACTGGATACCAAGTCTACAAGACAAGCTTGGTAGCAA